CTGAACATCGTGACTTGTTAGTGGCCGTCGGTCGGGACGGCAGGATTTTTTCACCCCCGCTGCCACGGCGCCGCCCCTGCACCCACTACCGCCCCGAGGCCTGGCCTTGTCAGGAATCCGGCCCTGCCAATGATGCACAACAAACTGGCACTCATGTTTCCCCAGCTGCAGCATACTGCCAGGTTGGCTCCAGTGACAAGGACAGAGGGGGTGATGATGAGGTCACTGACTCTGCTTGGGTGCCTGAGTGAGGAGGAGGCACAACCCCAACGAGGCACAATGTCCTCCAGGGGCAGCCATATGAGCAGCCAGGCCATTGCATCAGAAGGCAGAGCTGCACTGGTGCAGGGCACTGTTGTTGTCTCGCAGCACACTTCTAGGAACTCAGCTGTGTGGGAGTTTTTCAGCACATGTGCAGCAGACCACAGCATTGCTATTTGTCTCAAGAAGATCAAGCATGGCAAAAACATCAGCCACTTGGGTACCACGTGCTTGAAGAAACATCTGACCACCTGCCACGCATGGCATTGGCAACAGCATCATAGGAAGGACAACACCTCTCCTCGCTCCTCATCTGTCATCTCTACCCCCACTATACATCATGCCATGTCAACAACCTCCAGGGATTATGGTATAGCAATGGGTCTCACAGGTTCTTCTGCTGAATCTGCCAGCAGCCCACCAGCAGCAGATTTTAGAAGTCAAATTTTGCTGCCCCAGCTGTTGCAGCGAAAAAAATACTGTCCTAACTACACACATGCTATATGCCAGCTTGGTAAAATTGCTAGCTTTACAGCTGCTGCCTTTCCATCTAGTGGACTCTGCCCTTTCCGTGAGTTTGCAGAATGTGCTGTACCACAGTGGCAGGTTCCCAAACACCAATTCTTTTCACAGAAGGCCATTCCAGCACTGTACCAGCATGTGGAAGGCAATGTTTGGCCTTGTTTGTACAAGGCATTCAGCAGTCAGGTCTACATTACCGCCGACACGTGGTCTAGCAAGCATGGTCGGGGACATTATATTTCCTTCACAGCACACTGGGTAACTCTGCTTGCAGCTGGGAGGGATCCAGGATGGGGCTCTGTGCTGGAGGTTGTTCAACCACCACGCCTCCAAAAAGCTGCTAATGTGAGATCTGTCTGCTCCACCCCCTCCTCTTCATCCTCCATGATGGTCTCCTCTGCAGAAAGTCCGGCGAACCAGCAGTTCACCATAAGCGTTCCAGGGTCTACGCAACGGCTCGGGCAAAAAGATGCCATGCAGTGCTTGAGCTGGTTTGTCTAGGGGACAGGAGCCACACCGGGGCAGAGATTCTGTCAGCTCTGCAGGGACAGGCCCAGAGGTGGTTAACATCACACCAGCTTGAGCCGGGAATGGTTGTATCCGACAATGACAACAACCTTCTCTCCGCCCTACGCCTGGGAAAGTTGACGCATGTACCATGCTTGGCAAACGTCCTTAATTTGGTGGTACAAAGTTTCTTAACCAGGTACCCAGGGCTGCAAGATCTTCTGTGGCAGGCCAGAAAAGTCTGTAGCCATTTCAGGCGGTCATACCCAGCAAGTGTTCATCTGGCTGAAATTCAAAGGGAATTCCACCTGCACACAAACCATCTGATTTGTCACATGCCCATCAGGTGGAACTCCACTTTGGGGACCTTGGCTTTTTTCCCCACATAAGTGTCTGCTGATAAAGAATGCATGCACTGTACTGTCACCATCTGAGGAGGCAACGAGGATGGTGAGCAGGGACAATGTATGCATCAGTGACACAATCCCTCTTGTGTTCCTACTGGAGCACACTCTGCGGGGAATTATTGATCTGGCACTTGAGGCAGAACAGCGGGAGGAAGAGGAGGACTTCCTTATCTCTCAAGGCCCCCTTTACGCAGACACCATTCCTGCAGGACCGCAGATCACACAAGAGGAAGAGGATTATGTCAGCCGTGGGGCATTGAAGCAGGGGATGACATAAGGCAGTCTTCAAGGGAGGGTTTTCTGTCCCCAGAAACTCAAGGAGTAGTACTGGCTGGCTGAGAGGAGGAAGTGCACAATAGTGTCATCCTCAGTGATCCTGAAGCCTTGGAATCTCATGCCTCCTCCAACTTACGCTGCATGGGCTCCCTTATCTTGCAAAGCCTGAGAAAGGATCCCAGGATTCGTGGTATCAAGGAGAGGGATCATTACTGGTTGGCAACCCTTCTTGATCCATGCTACAAGCGTAAAGTTGCAGAGCTCATCCTGCCCACACAGAGGGAGCACAGGATGAAACAACTGGAGGACGCTTTGAAGAGAAACTTGTGTAACACCTTTCCAGACACTGGTAGGTTACCAAGTGATGAAAGAGGTGCTTCCTAGGCTTTGGTTGGTCAAAGGAAGAGCGGTGGAGAAGGGGGCTGTCTGACTGATGCCTTCAGAAATTTTTTCAGTCCTCGGCACCCAGGAATGTTAACTTTAGGCACCCATCGCCAGCATCTGCATCATATGGTGCAGGATTACGATCCACTGGCTTACTGGGTCTTGAGAATGGATTACTGGTCAGAACTTAGCCAAAATGTCATGGAGCTACTGGGCTGCCCTGCATCCAGTGTGCTTTTGGAAAGGACGTTTAGTGCTGCTGGAAGTTTAGTGACAGACAACAGAGTGCGTCTGTCCACAGACTCCGTTGACAACCTGACATTTATAAAATGAATCAGTCCTGGATCAGCAGCAGCTATCAATCCCCTGATGCTGATGTCAATGAATAGATTGGGGATCTCTGGATTCGGAAGACTTCCTAGGCTGCCTAACTTTGTGGGTGATTATTCCGCCAAAGTTTCCGGAATAGTGCACCACCAACGACCAAGAGCACATTTTTCCACACCTGCATGTGACAGTTGCATATCATTTGAATTTTTTGCAGCAAGGTCCAATCCTGCACTCTTCCAGGATAACTCTGATGGGTTACAGTGTGAAGGCACTTGCCAACACTAAAGGCCCAAGATTTGGGTTCACCAACCTGTGTGACAGGTGCATATAATTTGAATATTTTACAGCAGGGTCCAACCCTGCACTCGTCAAGATGAACTCTGAAGGGTTACCGTGTGAAGGCACTTACCAACACTAAAGGCCCAATATTTGGGTGCACCTGAGTGACAGGTGCATATCATTTGAATATTTTACAGCAGGGTCCAACCCTGCACTTGTGAAGAATAACTCTGAAGGGTTACGGTGTGAAGGCACTTGCCGATACCAAAGGCTCAATTTTAAAGCACCTGTTGTTACTTTGATCCAAGAGGCACCAGAATGTATCCAAAAAATCTCTAACCTTGTTCCGAGTGTCCTAAAATGTGGTCTCTTCATACAGGCTGCCTCGCCAAGCAGTTTTTTAAAAGATTAAAGGAAAACCTCTTTGAAGGAATTTTTCATTTTTATTCTTACCCTTTAAGCGATGTAAAAATCACTGCTCCTTTAACCACTTGCCGTCCGGCCGTTGTAAAAAAACGGACGGACGGCACTGTAGCATTGGCGGGATTTTTTGTTTTGTTTTGTTTTTCATTGATTTCTGTACCCCTAGTGCAGTAACCGGACCCCCATGCCTTTTTTAGGGACAATAGTTTGCATATAAGCCCTCTTAAAGGGGACAATCATTTCTGAAAGTTCTACCCCCACTGACTTGCATTGAGTTCGAGTTAGAATTCAAAATTTTCGGACATTCAAAAGTAACTATTCAATGCAAAGTGACTTTTCTCTGAGTCATTGCAGTGTGTTAAAACACAATTATTGATGTGTGTTATGTTGTATATTAACTTGTGTTGCATTAGGGCAGTCCCTTTTTTAACACAATGCATGGCATGTGCATTGTAATGTGCTGTAGTGAGGGTGTATTGCCCTCTATCATGAATTTAGGTGCCTTTCACACATATATGACTTTGTCATATCACGTGCTAAAATATGCATTTAAATCCGAGTGGGCCCTTCGTTGATCACATGATTATTAAAACAAAATAATTATAGAAATATAATAGACTACAAACTCAATTTAAATATATGACCAGTTCAAGCTTTTGCTGGAAAACAGAGAAAGGCCCACATTTCCACAGTCATTTTCCCAAAGACAATGCATACAATTATGTAGTCAACACTTCTGTGTATAAGGGTTCGTTCTAACCACATGCAGTGTGTTCCGGTCTGATTCTGGCCAGAACGCACTGCATCGTATTGCGACCAGTTCAGTTTTTTGTGGGGCAGGAGGGGGCACGGCGGGCCATTGAAGTGAATGGCACCATAGCCATGCCCTCCGGCCGCAATGCGATCGCCCGCACGGGATCGCAAGGCACATTGTGCCTGCGGTCCGGTCCTGTGTGGTGCGATCAAAATAGTTATTGCAGCATTTTGATCGCACCGCACGGGACCGAAACCGCAGGCACAATGTGCCTTGCGATCCCGTGCGGGCGATCGCATTGCGGCCGGAGGGCGTGGCTACGGTGCCATTCACTTCAATGACTCACCGTGTCTCCTCCTGCCCCACAAAAAAGTGAGCCAGTCGGAATGTGATGCAGTGCGTTCCGGCCAGAATCGGACCGGAACGCACTGGTGTGAACTAACCCTAAAGCCTACAGAGGTTCAGAGTGATTTAAGTCCATGGATGACACAACTACAAGTTTTTTGTACTTATCATTTACGCCATTTTTCTGATACACAAAATAAATGGGAATAATTCCATATTCTCTAGTCTGGTACCAGGAATAACATGAATATACCTAATAATATACGTTGTAATGGTCCTGAATATTGTGTAGGGCTACTCAATTTAAAGTCAGTTTCCCTTCTGTTTAATCAATTCAGATGCTTAAGAACCTGCTTTTGTATGACATAATAGGCAAATACAGTATGTCTTAGCTCTAGGTTTTTTCTATATGTACAGTATCTAAGTAAAAAATAATTCAGTTTGAATCTACTATTTTTTTTAGCTGTCAGTCTAATAAATAATTTTTTTTTACTGTTCCTATCTTGCTACAGAACCGTTTAGTGCTTCTGTCTGGGTGATGATGTTTGTGATGCTTCTCTTGGTTTCCGCAATGGCTGTTTTTATATTTGAGTACTTTAGTCCAGTAGGATATAACAGAAACTTGGCACAAGGAAAAGGTAAGATTTAAACTGTTCCATATAAACATGTTATTGAGATGGCTGGTTATACTCTTTAGCTTGCACAGAAAATCTCAAAAAAAACCTGCAATGCCTTCTCTGAATACCACTGGTACAGAGCCTGCTTTCCAGCAGCATTGTACTAATGTTTTGAGAGGGACTCCTATCTTTTTTTTTAAATTCTATTTTTTATTCAAAAGAAATTTTTTTCAGATATAAAACAAAGGTACAAAACAAGTAACATTGTCATACAGTAAAGGGTAATACAATCAAGGTGTGATGCGTTGTCATAAAACAATTGAACCACATGAATTCTCATTACTGCTCCCTGTCATATGCAAAAAAGAAACCAAAAACATATCGCTTCCCTGGTACCATGCCATGGCCCGTTCCCAAGGTGAGCCAAGGCCGGGAAAGGTCTGTATATAACCACTCAAGCCGTCAAGGCATGGAGCCCTTTATGGAGCCGGAAACCTGGCATGACATGTATAATGTCGGGGGAGTAAAAGTATGACGATGTGAAGAAGGAAATGGAGAGAGGTAGGGAAGGAAACAAGACCGGGGAAGGGAGGGTGTGAAGGGTGTTTTCTCACTCATGCCGTGGATCTTAACTGCTCATTAAAAGTTGGTATTCGGTTGATTCAAGGAATTCAGTCCAGTAAAACCAATGTGGTGGAGAATTTAGACACTGTGCCCTTTATGGAGCTAGTGAGATCTTCCATATGTTTAATATCGTTGACTCGCTGGAGCCACTGCTGTATGGTGGTCGGCGAAGGCTGTTTCCACAAAAGAGGTATACAGGCCCTCGCCGCGTTCACCAGGTGTACAAGAACAGACTGTCTATATGCCTTCAACGGGATGTTATTGTGGTGTAACAAAAAATCAGATCCTGGGGCAATCCCTGAACCCATCGTAACCTCGTAAAATTGTAAACTACATTGCTAACCCCATAAAAGTCGATTGAGTGGGAGGGGGCATGGCAAAATCACAGATAGGCAGTGCACAGTACAGGATAGTGGTGGCAGTGGGTGGTGGTGGTGGTAGGATTGGGGTAATCACAGCTGTTCATTCAATCAGAAGTGTCTTGGGCACACTTCTGCCATCGGTTCATGGTTGCTGAAATGACCATGAGCTTATAGCAGAAGGGAATGCAATGTAAGACTTACTGATCAGGGAAGCTGGAAGTGGTTCTGTCCCACTGTAAGAATAGGCAAGAAAGTGGTTTACGGCAAAGAGTGGACACACCAAATATTAGTTGGATTTAGGATTTTTCTGTTCATGCACTTTGTAGATTGTTATTGATAAATAAAAACTGTTTAATACAATGAGAGGAATTTATCAAAACTGGAGCAGCTGTGCATCGTGATCAATCAGCTTCTCTGTTTCATTTTAAAAGCTTAACAGAACAAACTGAAGAGAGAAGCTGATTGGTTGCCCTGGGAAACTGCTTCAGATCTAGTCTCCTCCAGTTTTAATAAATTCCCTTAATTATGTTTTAAAGCATCCTCACTTTACAGCAATTTTTACAAGTGCACAAAAGGGTTGCACAGTACTGTGCATATACACTTCTCAAAAAAATTAAAGGAACACTTTTTAATCAGAGTATAGCATCAAGTCAATTAAACTCCTGGGATTTTGATCAGGTCAGTTAAGTAGCAGAGGGGGTTGTTAATCAGTTTCAGCTGCTTTGGTGTTAATGAAATTAACAACAGGTGCACTAGATGGGCAACAATGAGACGACCACCAAAACAGGAATGGTTTTACAGGTGGAGGCCACTGAAATTTTTATCTCTACTCATCTTTTCTGACTTTTTTTCACTAGTTTTGCATTTGGCTAGAGTCAGTGTCACTACTGGTAGCATGAGGCGATAGCTGGACACTATAGAGGTTGCACAGGCATGCCAATTCCTCCAGGATGGCACATCAATACGTGCCACTGCAAGAAGGTTTGCGGTGTCTCCCAGCACAGTCTCAAGAGCATGGAGGAGATTCCAGGATACAGGCAGTTACTCTAGGAGAGCTGGACATGGCCGTAGAAGCTCCTTAACCCATCAGCAGGACCAGTATCTGCTCCTTTGTGCAAGGAGGAACAGGCTGAGCACTGCCAGAGCCCTACAAAATGACCTCCAGCAGGCCATTGGTGTGAATGTCTCTGACCAAACAATCAGAAACAGACTTCATGAGGGTGGCCTGAGGGCCCGACGTCCTCTAGTGGGCCCTGTGCTCACTGCACGCTGGGTGGGGGTCGAGTGGCATTTGCCATTGAACACAAGAATTGGCAGGTTCACCATTGGTGCCCTGTGCTTTTCACAGACGAGAGCAGGTTCACCCAGAGCACATGACAGATGTGAAAGGGTCTGGAGAAGTCGTGGAGAACGTCATGCTGCCTGTAACATCGTTCAGCATGACCGGTTTGGTGGTGGGTCAGTGATGGTCTGGGGAGGCATATTCATTGAGGGACGCACAGACCTCTACAGGCTAGACAATGGCACCCTGACTGCCATTAGGTATCGGGGTGAAATCCTTGGACCCATTGTGAGACCCTAAGCTGGTGCACTGGGTCCTGGGTTCCTCCTGGTGCATGACAATGCTCAGCCTCATGTGGTGAGAGAATGCAGTCAGTTTCTTGAGGATGAAGGAATTGATACCATTGAATGCCCCCCCCGTCGCCTGACCTGAATCCAATAGAACACCTCTGCGACATTACAGTCTGTTCAGGAGCTCAGTGATGCCCCCTGGTCCAAATCTTGGAGGAGCTACTCTAGGACACCATCCGTTGTCTCATTAGGAGCATGCCCCAACATTGTCAGGATCCATACAAGCCCGTGGGGTCCATACAAATCAAAAGATGTGGCATACTTTCGTTCCGAACACATTACCCAGTCCTGTATACAGTAGATATCCAGCATGATATTTTTCCCCATTGAGATCTGATGTGTTTTCAAACTGTTCCTTTAATTTTTTTGAGCAGTTTATAGTTTATATACATACATTTATACATACAGTATATACAGTATACACACACACATATATATAAATATATATATATATATATA